CGTTTTAAAACATTTCTGTTTTCTCTTTTTTTCTTAAAAATTCATTTCCGTGTTTCCTAACATTTCGGTTCTACGTACCCGTTTTCGATTCCATGCAACTTAGCTTATAAATTAACACAATCGATTATTTTTACCCAAAAAAAAACAATCGATCGATTATGGTAATAAGTGCTTTATAGTTTTTTTTTTGTCACGAACGAATTTCAATCCTAGTTTATCTAAATACAATAGTATCTGAAAACTAATGGGGGACCGAAGTGTTAATATAAGAAAACACTACATTCATTTGCCGGACATGCTGGGGCAGTAGGTCAGCCCGCACATTCATTTCCCTTGGACAATATTTGACGGTAAAATCTGAGAAAAAAACTCGTAGTAACATTATTTCTTCTAGTTCTGTCTTGAAACGCGGCCACTTTTCCGGCTCTAACACCATGGTAGTTAACTCTTGGGAACTGGTGGCGAACAGGGTAAAGTGCTTTATAGTCATGAATCCAAAAATTATGAACTATAAATACGGAAATAATTTGGTTATCCCGTAGAAAGTCAATAATGTGTAGAGTAGACTCAAAACTTTAATGTCAAACACCAGTATTCAAATTCCAGCACATAACGTAAAAGTTGGAATTAAGTTTTACTATTGTCTAAGAAAAATTGAGATCTGCACTGAGATTTGAGAATAAACACGTAACTGAATTGCACAAGGCACACTCATTAACGATTCCTTTGGTACTTTGCCTTTTGCCTTTGTAAAAAGAGAAGCAAAAATATTATTAAAATAATAACTAAATAAAGAAAAAGCAAGATGGGCAAAAGAAGAAACCTAATTAGTAACTTATCCGTAAAGAAAGATCCCCATTACGCGCTAAATTTGTTTATAATATATTTTTTTTTGTCATCTGAAATATTATATTGAACATGATGGAATACCATCTACTTCTTCATGGTATCTCTTTCCCTTTGATTTTTTTTTTTGTCAATCGTTCATTTTTCAACCAATTTCTGTCGAATCTCTGGGTAAACCTTTTTCCGAATCATGTTCTACAGTCTTTAATTCTCATGCCTCTTTTACCTATTGTTTTCTCTAGCAATTAATTACCTAGTGATTGATATTGAAATCAGTCTATTTTTCCAATTATAGCATGGGCCCAATACAGGCCCATTTGACAACAAGAGCAGAAGGATTTTTTTTCCCGTCTCGGAGAAAGAAATCAGAGACAAAATACTGTAAAGAGAGTGAGTGAATCCTAAAATTTTCCCGACCATGAGATCTGTCTTTGCGCAGGTAAACCGAAAATCTGCGTATGATCTTTACTTTTTCCTTGTTTATGCAATCGATTGATTGAAGAAACTTTTACAGTGTTACCGGCTTTGTGGGAGATCTAGTGGAGCTAGCAATTTCTCTTCACCGCCTAGTAAACTTGTCTGATTCTGTCGAATTCGAGAGTCGTATCGTATCATAGGGTTTTTTTTTATAGAAAAACAAATCTTTATTTGTTTATTTTGTCAATTTGTGATTCGTAGAGGCGAATGGAGCCGGAGATACAATTGGCGTATTGCTCTTCCGTCCAGTTCCAATCACTTCTTATTTTACGGATTTTTCGTCTGTTTTCAAGGAATGTGCGAAGCAAGGAGCATTAGAGCTAGGCAAGCAAGCTCATGCTCATATGATACTATCTGGGTTTCGTCCGACTACATACGTGTTGAATTGTTTGCTACAAGTTTACACAAATTCTAGAGATTTTGTGTTTGCTTCTATGTTGTTCGACAAAATGACTCTTAGAGATGTTGTTTCGTGGATTACAATGATAAATGGATATGGGAAGAGTAAGGACATGGATAAAGCGACTTCTTTCTTCGATTTGATGCCTGTGAGAGATGTTGTGTCATGGAATTCAATGCTTTCTGGGTATTTGCAGAATGGTGAGAGTTTGAAATGTATTGAGATTTTCGTTGACATGGGGAGACAAGGTATTGAGTTTGACGGTAGAACTTTTGCCATCATCTTGAAAGTATGTTCGTGTTTAGAGGAAACCAATTTAGGAATGCAGATTCATGGGATTATTGTTCGAGTAGGTTGTGATACTGATGTGGTTGCTGCTAGTGCATTGTGAGATATTATGCAAAATGCAAGAGATTTGACGAGTCGCTTAGAGTGTTTCAATGTATTCCAGAGAAGAACTCTGTCCCGTGGAGTGCTATAGTCGCGGGTTGTGTTCAGAACAACTTCTTGTCCCTTGCTTTGAAGCTGTTCAAGGAGATGCAAACGGTAAATGGTGGAGTGAGCCAGTCCATTTATGCTAGCATCTTGAGGTCATGCGCTGTATTGTCCGAATTGAGATTAGGTGGTCAGTTACATGCTCATGCCTTAAAGTCAGATTTTGCAGCAGATGGTATAGTGACAACGGCGATGTTAGATATGTACGCAAAGTGTGACAGTATGCAAGATGCTCAAATTTTGTTTGACAAGTCAGAAAATCTTAATCGACAATCTTATAATGCAATGATTACTGGTTATTCGCAGGAAGAACATGGTTTCAAAGTTCTACTGTTGTTTCACCGACTCATGTCATTGGGTCTTGGTTTCGACGAAATAAGTTTATCAGGAGTGTTCAGGGCTTGTGCCTTGGTGAAAGGTCTTTCAGAGGGGCTTCAAGTTTACGGTTTGGCGATAAAAAGCAACTTATCGGTAGATGTTTGCGTTGCAAATGCTGCTATTGACATGTATGGGAAATGTCAAGCTATGGGTGAAGCCTTCGTGTATTCGATGAGATGAGAAGAAGAGATGCTGTGTCTTGGAATGCGATTATAGCAGCACATGAGCAGAACGGAAAAGGATGTGAAACACTTTCTCTTTTTGTCTCAGTGCTCCGTTCTAGGATCGAACCTGATGAGTTTACCTTTGGAAGCGTAATGAAAGCTTGCGCGGGTGATTCTTTGGGTTANNGTATGGAAATCCATTCCAGNATTGTCAAATTAGGAATGACTTCAAATTCNTCTGTTGGATGCTCTCTNATTGATATGTATTCAAAGTGTGGAATGATAGAAGAGGCANNGAAGATACATAGTCGATTGTTTCTNCGAGCCAATATTCNAGGAACAACGGAAGAGCTTGAAANGATGCACAATAAGAGACTGCAAGAAATGTGTGTTTCATGGAACTCAATCATTTCCGGATATGTAACTAAGGAACAGAGCGAGGATGCTCAGATGGTTTTCACCCGGATGATGGAGATGGGCATAACTCCTGACAAGTTTACTTACGCAACGGTTCTTGATACTTGTGCGAATCTAGCTTCTGCTGAATTAGGCAAGCAGATTCATGCTCAGGTCATCAAGAAAGAAATGCAATCTGATGTGTATATCTGCAGCACCCTCGTTGACATGTACTCGAAATGTGGAGAGCTCCACGATTCAAAATTGATGTTTGAGAAGGCGCTGAAAAGATATTTCGTGACCTGGAACGCCATGATTTGTTGGTATGCACATCACGGGAAAGGAGAAGAAGCTATAAAATTGTTTGAGAGAATGATACTCGAAAACATCAAACCGAATCACGTAACTTTCATATCGATACTCCGAGCTTGTGCTCACATGGGTCTGATGAACAAAGGACTCGAATACTTCTACATGATGAAAAGAGATTACTCTTTTCTCTTGATCCAGCCAAACTCATTCTCCCTATATTATTTAGAAATTTATTTCATTTCTACAAATTCG